CTCTCTCTCTCTCTCTCTCTCTCTCTCTCTCTCTCTCTCTCTCTCTCTCTGTGTCTCTGAGTGAACCTCTCATGAGAATGAATCTTCCTCTTCATTGAGGAAGATTCATTCTTGTTGGGCATGTCTGATTTCCTTTCTTTTCTTTCTTTTTTTTTTTGCTGAATGTTGTATGTTTTTTTTTATATTTTTAATTTTTATTTTTCTGTGATGTACTACCGGTAGTCCGAGGCTCGGCAATAAAGTCCGAGGCTCGGGAATGATCGGGCTACCGGTAGTCCGAGCCTCGGACTTGATAGCTGAGCGAGGTACTGGTGGTTTAAGTGGGGTACAAGTGCAATTTTCCCTTTTGGAATTTTTTTCCCCCCCCCTCAGCCTTGAGAGATTCGGTCTCGCTGCACTACTCTCGACTCCCCACAAATCAGAGAGTATGTGCAGAGCTGTCACACTCCTATTGCACAATTTTTCGTTCATCACCACCCTTAGGACCTCACGGCACCACTGTTGAAAATGTGATTTTCACCAGTTTCTCTTCGCCACACAGGCTGTCGAAGTCGGAGATGGGAAGAAAATTCGCCAGTTGTCAGAGAATGCTTCTCGACACCTCCTGTCCAAAGTTGTTGAATCCCCAGCCTGCTACTCCGATGCTTTCAACAGTCCTCGGCTGTGCCATCGACTTCGCTTTGAAATTTGGTGAGTGGGGGTAAGGTCGGGATGGATTAATGCTTGTCGTACCCTCAGGCACGTTCGTCTTTTCCCGTCTTGCTTTCACAAGTGGGTGCACTCTACACTGCTGTGTGGCGAAAGGGGGGCAAACTGTCGAATGGAGGCTGTCGAACTTGTTCTGACAGCCGTCGAATTTTTTTGCCTTTCGACTGTGGTGTGGCGAGGCCCTTACTCTGCATGGTCCCACTCTCCATTTGTGCACTCACTACGAGACGCCGAGGCAGCACAAGAAGACACGGCGTCATCTGCATTTTGCCTGCCCAGACTCCAGGTACCCTCGCCGAATTCGGCCGAGATTCGTGAAACCCATGGACCACTCTCCGAAACAGGATGGTCGCAGGCTGGGCGCCCTCCATGCCTGGAGAGTGCTTTTCTTTCGCACTTTCTGACAGCTATCCGGGTTTTTCCTGAGGGCCGAAGCAGAGAGTGTAGTGCTGCGATCATGCAAAACTCTCCGAAATGGTGAATCGGGAGTGTAGTGCAGAGAGACCCATTATCATTGGAGTGATCAGCCCCTGCTAATTCGGAATTGCAGTATTTCACTCATCTGATGAACTGATTCCAGTGGAGTTCGAACTCAGGTCTGCATGCAACAGTTGAGGGGTGTACCAACTGAGCTGTGCCAGTCGGTTCATTTTGGAATCCCGAGAACAGCCCGCGCAGGAGTGCAGTGTGGCGAACGGTATTCTCGAACGGCCTTTTCGGGAGCAATTGCGGAAATTTTCCGGGATCCGGGGAGTGGTGTCCCGAGGCCCTTCCCACTAGCCCCTATTCTTCATTTCTGACCGTTGATCTTCGTAATCGAGGGTGAAAAACGAATAATCCAGGGTAGTGGGATCTGACCGGTTTTCTCGTGGGGATCCCAGACAAGAGCAAAAGGATGCCCTAAACCCTTCTAGTAGAGCGCGATTCCGCAGCACGGTTTTCTCGGTGCACGGCGGTCGGGTGAGGTTGGGATCGAAGAAGTGTTCTTCGGCGACCATCCCGCCATGTATCCCGCGATGTATCGCGCACACGTGGCTATTTCGTGGTCCGGATCAGCATTTTTTTTTTTTTTTAATTCGTAATCAGCATGAGGTTTTCCTTGCTGATGCTAGCCCCTCTGAACCTGAATACGCGGACTCGCTTTCTGCCCGTGCGCGCCCTTCTCTCATGCAGTTGTTCAGCTGAAGGAAATCATGGAGCTTTGCCACGAAGCGCCGTATGCTCTGACGACTTCGTGTGGACTACTGTCTAGGCAAGCAGAGAGACTATGGAGACCTAGGGAGGCGCGTGGATAATTAGATAGGCGTGATTCTCTGTGCGTGTGTTCTCTGCGTTTGCGCACACACGAGAGAGAGCGAGAGAGAGAGAGAGAGAGAGAGAGAGAGAGAGAGAGAGAGAGAGAGAGAGAGAGAGAGAGAGANGCGCACACACGAGAGAGAGAGAGAGAGAGAGAGAGAGAGAGAGAGAGAGAGAGAGAGAGAGAGAGAGAGAGAGAGAGAGAGAGACGGGGCCAGAGGACAAGCGGACAAACTCGTCATCGAGGAAGGGAACTCAAGGGATTCCCGACATGGGTGACAACGGAGAATCAAGTCATTTACAGCGAGCACCCTGCATAGCCATTGATTTGGGTACTTCCTCGTGTTCCGTGGGGGTGTGGCTTGATGGCAGAGTGCAGATCATACCGAACGAAAATGGTAAGTTATCCACTCCATCTTATGTTGCATTTACGGACACTCAGCGTTTGGTGGGAGAGCAAGCGCAGAAGCAGGCCCTGAGGAAACCAGAGAACGTGTTCTTTGAGGTCAAAAGGCTCATTGGACGGCGATGGAAAGATATAAGCGATGAGTGGGTGAAATCGTGGCCGTTCTCGGTGGGAAAAGCACAGGACTCAGGGGAACTGGGGTTGAGGGTGACGAGCGCTTTCCTGGAGCCGTTTCTTCAGCGTACTGATCGTCTGCTCACCCCGCAGCAGACTGACGGTGCACGCAATGGCTCTCATCCTACCGGCGATGGCAAGACGGTGGGGTTCCTCGCTCCGGAGGAGATTACGGCTATGTTGTTGGCGAAGATGAAGGCTTGCGCGGAGAGCCAACTGTCCTGCGGCAAGCTGGAGCAAGCAGTCATCACAGTGCCCACGTACTTCGACGATCATCAGAAAGACGCAACGAAGGTGGCGGCCGAGATAGCAGGATTCAATGGGGTGCGACTGGTGCACGAGCCGACTGCGGCCGCAATAGCCTATGCTCAGCACATGGGTTTGTTGTCGCTTGCTGGGCCTCGTGAGGGTTCGAGCATCAGGAGTGGGCGTAAGTCGGCCAAGGAGACGACCATAATGGTCTTCGCTCTCGGCGGCGGATGCTTGGATGTGGCGCTGGTGATCATAAGCGAAGGGAGAGTGGGAGTGCGTGTCGCTGACGGCGACTCTAAGCTTGGCGGCGCGGACTTCGACAACGTGATCGTCGAAATAATCGAGGAGCAGGCTAAGGGTACCTTTGGCGGGAAAGTGGATACCAGCAGTCCTCGTCTTCGGCGAAAAATGAAGGCGGCCAGCGAGAAGGCGAAGCAAGACCTCACCTTGCTGCGCGAGGCGACAATAGAGATCGACTCAGTTCGCGGCGACGACGATCTCTCCTTCGTTCTAACACGGGAGGAATTCGTGTCCAGCAGCGAGCATCTGTTTCGCCGATGCACGGAAGTTGTCCAGCAGGTCTTTCTCAAGGCGGAGAAATTGGGAATAACCAAGGAGGCGATTGACGAGATGGTGCTGGTGGGTGGATCGACGCGAATTCCAGAGCTCAGAGAGAGGTTGCACAAGGCTTTTGGAAAAGTGCCGCGACCTCACTCCCACCAGAACGAGGCCGTCGTGCACGGAGCTGCCCTGTACACCGTTTGTGCGCGCGAGATCATTGAAGAAATCGATCCGACGCTCGCGGTTAGTTCTGAGGGCGACGAGACTCCTGCCTCACTTCCGACGACGACTGAGGATTCACGCGGCGATATGCGTTCACTGCTAGATACTTTCAAGGAGCGCGCTAAACTGATAGAGGAGTACGAAGAGGATGCTCTCAAGCTGAGCGAGGCTAGGTTTCGGTCGGAGAAATTCGTGGGTGAAGCGCTGAAGAGGAGCGCAGAGTATCCGCCGTGGGTGCGGCGGATCATCGAAGGGGAAATCCGATGTACTACAGAGGGAATGGACGGGGCGATGAGCCTAGAAGAGCTTAACTCGCAGTACAAGCAAATGGCAGACCTGTGCGAGTACGCGTTCGGCGCGATGTGGAGCAAGTCATTCTCGAGACGCAAATTCTTCATTGCGGATCGATGGATAGGGTGTGACTGTGAACCTCCCGACGTCTGCGACCCCACACAGACGGGCTTGGGCAACCTGAGCAAAGCAAGCGGCTCACTGGTGGGTCCTGATCTGTGCGACCTAGTCGTCGCACCACCCGTCAAGGAGCTGCTCAAGACCAAGAGATCGATCGAAGGTCTTGTCGACGGCGGGCGCATCGAGATTGCCGCACCGGGCGGCGTGCATCCGATTGACAACGAGACGAGTGCGTCGAGAGTCGCGGACGCACGTCGCACTGGGCGCAGGCTCCCCCTCACGGGTCCTGGAGCGCCCCCGCAAGTCAGGTACAAGGTCTCCGCAGAGAGTTTGAGGAATCGCGGGATCCTGTACACGATAATCGGAAGAGGGCCGAGCGGTTGGTCAGAAGACATTCCTCAACAAGTAGCAGCTGCTTTGCGGACAGGGTTGCGTGTCATCCTGTGCGTCGGAGGCGAGGAGGAGCAGGAGGCAAGCGCGGACGGCAAGCAGCTCAGCCACTCGGCGGGCGGCGCCATCGGGACTGCCGGCGGAGCAGTCCTTGGCAGCACGTTGGCGAGGGAGAGAGAGAAATGTAAAGAGCAGCTTGAACAGGTTCTCAGGGAGGTAGGAAAAACTTGGAGGAACGTTGTCGTAGCTTACCAGCCCTCATGGGAGAGTCAATTCGAGGGCGAGACCTCGATCTCGGTGGAGGAGTTCATGACGGCCGTGGTGGACGGGCACGTGGGCATAAGGGAGACGCTGAGGAAGAATGCCAACCGCGATGTGGCGGAGTCAACGCGGATCATCTTTGGCACTTACCCCTTGGATAGGATAGGGACTATCTGGGACGCCCTTTCGAGGCAGAAGGAGATTGACGGCTTTCTTCTCGATAGCGGATTCAGGAGGTCGGAGATCGTGCACAAGATCCTTAGGAGGAGATGGAAAGCAGAGGAAAGCTTCCTCCTCCTCGGCGTTCCCGAGACCCAGGAGGATGTAGAAACAGGTAACCTGCTATCGTTGCTGGACAAGGGCGGAGCCAATCTTCTTGGATGTGGTGATGAATACACACATCAGCCTTGGTGGTGTTCTCTCGTGGCTTTCCCCACGACAATAGACAAAAAGCACTGGGTTCGTCCCGATCATGTGCCTATTTTCGATAAGCACGATCTGATCGCGACAATGAATAAGCTGTCTCGTCCAGATCCAGCACCCTCCCCCTCCGCTTCCCCCCCAAGCGCACCCCACCTCAGCCCCCGAACCCCAGAACCACCTCCCGGAACCCCCCGCGCTCTCTTCGACCTCGTCTCCAGAACCTGTCCCGAGCAGGATACCTATTCCTTCCCCCTCGAAGGGAGAGTGATTATCAACCTCCGCGAGAGAGATAAGGACAGAAAGAAGCGACCTACAGCGGACACGATAGCGGCGTGGATGGCAGAGCTCGACAAGATCATCCGAGGGGACGAATGGCGTCGCTTCGTAATTGCGTACACGCCCGAGTGGGCAACCGGGTCCGATTCCGAAGTCCGGCCCGATCCGGAAGCGAAGCTGTACCAAGACGTGGAGGGTGCGCATAGCGAGATCCGCAGCTTGATTGCACGAAACAAGAATTACGCAACGGCAGACCAGGTGGCGATCGTCTGTGAGATCGATGGGGCTAGCAGCATGGAAACGTTGCGGCGCATCGCGGTAATGCCGAATGTGGACGGGCTGATGCTGGGATCGTCACTCGTGAAGAAGCTTGCTAATGTATGATCAAGGGCTCAGCGAGGATGGCCAAGCAACGTCCATGAAGGCGAGAGCTAATGCAAGGAGTAGGGCTCTGTGCGGAGCCGACGAGTCGCTCAGGTTTTGCGATCTCCCGATGCCCATAGCGATAATTGCATAATCTGATTATTATCTTTCTTCTCTTTTCCTCAATTTGATTTTATCTTTCTTCTCTTTTCCTGAATTTGATTTTATCTTTCTTCTCTTTTTCTCAATTCGACGACAGTCACTCCGAAGCCGAATAAAAGCCGGGATTTCCCCCCTCCGTGTACGGGGGAATGGGCAACCCTCGTGGCCGTACAAGGATGGCGGTTGATGAGGACAACGGGCAACCGAGCGTCGGACGTCAGCGGTATCGTCCAGCTTTGCGTGTATTTTCTGCGGGGGTTCCGTGTTAGCGGTGCTGTCCAATAATATATAGTCTTCATTCTTTCAGTAATTGTGTTGTGGATGTTAGGAGGATAAGATCCGTACCAATTGTTAATGGTACGTTTGGCGGACGGCAAGGCGTGTTCCAGACCGTCGTCTCGAAATCAAGTTGGTGTTTGTGTGCTTTTCTCTGCTTTTTTTTATTTTGGGGTGGGGAAGAGGTAAAATTATTCTTTTCGATTCTATGTCAACCGTTCCCTTCCCTCCCACTTCCTCAGGGGATTTGATTTCTATTTCTACGTGCTGTCGTGGTCGTTATTGGCGCTGGCAATACTTAGGCGCAGAGGATTCTCTGGCGATAGGGTGACCTGTATTTCAGACTTGATTGACGGCAGAGTTCTGATTGTTGTCGGTCTTCTGCAGGTTCTTTTTTCTCCTTCTCTCCTCGGGGCGTACTCACACTAGTACTTTCTTAAATGTCTCTGACCGCATTTATGGTCTTACTTGTCTCAATTGTCTGCATCTGACCCCGACTCCGTCCAGAAATAAGTTAAAAAGGTGCTAGTGTGAGTATGCCCTCAAATGGTTCTCGATCTCCGATGGATGGAGCGGTTGACCTCTCCTGCCTGTTTGATAAATGGCTTCACCGCCTTCTAGTATGTCCACGACTTGGAGCACAAGTCGGATTCGTTGGAACTCTTTAAAAGTTCAGCGCCGAATTAATTATTTTCTTTGCTCTTTTTTATACCATTTCTCGATTTACGTGTGTTATTCCTTTCGCAGGAGGCATGGTAATCCTCTCTGTATCGTTCCAATTTTAACTGTTGTCCAGAAGGAGTAATAAATTATTCTCTCAACGCATGAGTTCTCCATTCCAGGGAGGGTAAGTGGCGGAGAGGTCACGCTGGAAACGAATTATCAATAAAAGACGTTCTCATTTTGCACATTTGGTGTGGTTTCCGATTTTGGAAGTGGGTCCGCTACTACCCACATGCACAAAAGACAAATTATGGTGGTGTATCTTCCCATGTTCTAGTGAAAGATTCATTCTCTCCCTGTACATTTGGTGTGTTATATTTTTGTTTCCATCTTCAGATAACATCATCTTACGGGCCCTGGGTAATTCAGATTTGTAGGGTTTTTTTTTTCTAAGGGCTAATTCTTTTAAACCACTAGTACCTCCCAGCCTGTTTTTGCCGCCCTGAATTATAGTGCGCGCAGAAGGGTCGGCATCATATCCCAGCGGTGGCAGATAAGGGCAAGGGGTCGGCAGAGGCATACTTTGGGTGGGTGGGTGGGAACTGGACGCCTTTGTGGGAGTAAGGGGGGAAAACAGGTCTGTCCCAAGTTGGGGCTGATAAGGAGTGTTCGTGATCACGGGCGGTCCTTTTCAGTGGAGTCAGCGGTGGGGCAGGGGGACAAGGGGGAAAGGGGGGAATTTCTATATCCTTCGCTTGTACTTGGTTGGGACTTTTCCTGATTTTTTTTGGAATTTTCAAAACAAGCACCCGTGTTAGTTTTTGAAGAATCTCTCAGGACTCTGAGGGTTTGCTGGTAGTTTGAAGAATCTCTCAGGACTCTGAGGGTCTGCTGGCTTTTTTTTTTTTTTTTTTTTTTAACTGGGAACAAGGCTCCAATCTATTCGTGGGGAGCAGCACGTGCTGGGAACCGGGCCCAGCGTCACCAACCATAAACCATTCCCCGCAACCCAGATACCACACCTCCTTGAAACACCTGGCTCATAAAACGTAGACAAGCAACTCAGAAATCAAAAACATATAAAAACCAAGTAGTCATATAAGGCGTATTAATCCCACAAGAAGAGAGGACGGAAGGAAACTTCATCTCTCCCCATGAAAATTCTTGCGCCTATTCCCGTCTCCGTTGGAGGTAAAGGCTCACAAGAAACCGAGCGGCTTACTCCCCCCCCTGAAAAACGACCTCCTGCCCTTTCACTGCCTCCATTGGAAGGTGCCCCCTCACCTTTCAGCCCCTGTTCAGAGTAGCCCCCTAAATCTCTCCTGCTCCCTCAGCAACATACAATACCTCCTAGAGTATAACCCCGCAGAGCCGAAAATCACCCTTCCCTCATGTCCCACCCCCTTCCACGTGAAACACCTCGCAACCTCCCACCTTGGTGAAGTCAGCATCGACCCTTTGTCCTCTCTCCCAACCGCCTTAGCTGATCCATCTCAATCAGCCTGGCCCCAAAGAAAACAAACCCACAAACCGCCCTTACCCTCTCGAGGATCACACCTCCCACCTTGCATAACCCTCGCTTGGTGCGGCTCAACCCAGAAGGAGCGAGTTCAATCAGCACCTATGAGCCCAAATCCTACGCTATTGCAACCTGAGACTCAATTGTGACCTGCTTTTGAAAATCCCTCAAACAGATAAACTTAATTACACAATCAGATATCGAATTCAAGGTATAAGTGGCTTTAAGAGCACAAAGTGAGCTTACTAATATAGGGGAACACAACGGATTAACAATTGCATATAAGAATTTCAAATTTGAGCAAACTGACGGTCATAGAAGGAAAATCACGAATATCCATCACAAGATTAGAGTAAGAATTTCAAGTTTGAGCAAGATCACGACATCTCAAATTTTAAGAGAGCCAACTGTAAGAAATTTTAAGCATTTTCTAGAAATTTCAATGAGACATGTGAATGAAGTTTGGAACTAGTTCAAACCACGATAAGGAATTAAGATCTTGATATTAGAATCAAATTTATGAAAATCAATGTAAAGAAAATCAAACAAGAAATTCAAAGAAAACAAAATTTGGAATGTCAATCGCAACGAATTTAATCACATCAACAGTACGGGATCAATCAAGAGTATACACCATTTATAGGCTTAGTGAGTAAGATCACCTCTGAGGGGAAAAAAAAACATATCACCTAAATGTACAAAATTTCAGGACGGACCTAGAAAAACTTCCAACCAGGCAACCCCTCGCTGTGCCCTAACAACACCAACGTAATGCTTCATCCCGCACACCCTTTCACCCTCAAAACCTTACCTCCCCCTTCATTGGCTCTCCTTCTTTGGATCCTCGCAACACGATCTCATGCTGGCTAAAGTTCACCATGTCTATGAACCATAGAGCAAGCCAATAGTCGCTCACAGGTTGTGCCGGACCCGCCGGGATGGCGGTCCGTTAGGATGGAGACGAAGGAGGAGGTAGAGATGGAGCTGGAAGGGACGGCGCAGCTCCGACGCAGACTCCACACGCAAGTACTCCAAGATCTGCGAAAGTGAAGAGAGCCGAAAAACAGACTGCAGCTGGGGTATACCCCCAGCGGACTGACTGGACTGGACTGGACTGGCCTGGTACCGACCGTGGTACCGGGCGGGACTGGACTGGACTGAAACAATATACGGCCTGTGGGGTCAGGCCACGGCCTGGTCCCACAGGCCGAACTGGCAAATAGCCAAATAGGCCCTGGCTGTAGGCCAGGGCAGATGAAGGCCCGCTGCACAGGTAGTCTCGAGAGTATCAGGGACGCGCGAACTATGTCATGTTGCAGCGCACAGAGATACGTCAACTTAATCCGAGGGAATCACTTAAGTCAGATCCACCCGAATCTGTCGCATGGGCCTTGAAACACTTTTTCACTAACACTGGGTTGAGCAGCTGGATTCAAAGATCACATGGAGAAGAGAAGATGGCCCCTATGAACAACCCGAACATTCCACCCCCTGCCATAAATGCCCGCCGCGTCCATTCACCTTCATCACCACCAAGTTTCCACCATAGCCCTACCGCTTCTCCCACCGCCGTGCTCAACTCGCTCCCAGCGCCTAGCCCGACACCATGCGGACGTGTCGCTTCAAAGGGGGCATGTTTGGTCGGGCCCGGCGCAGCACCCCCGGTAGCGCTGCGCCGTACGAAGTTGCACTGAAATTAGACTGTTATATTCAGCATCCGTGGCTGTTCAATGCAGAACGACGCTGGTCGGAGCCGGGGTGATACCCTCTAACTTGCCGAAGGTGAGCGCATGAGGCCTTGTAGAGGGATTTGAGGATGTGTGCTGGTATCGTGAACGTGACCGGCACCGGTCACTTGAACGTGACCAGCCGGTCACTTGAACGTGACCAGCCGGTCACGGGGGCCGAATTCTGTGATCGGCCGTTTACGGGGTTTCCGCCCACGTGGAGGCTGGGACGGTCGGGATCGGGGCGGGAAGGGGGTGGTGCGGGGGCCTTCTACACCCCTATGCCTTCAAAGAAACAAAAAAAAGAAAAAAAGAAAAAAACGAGAATGGGGTATGTGTCTGCGTTACCGAGCGTACCTGTACGGGGCGTTTCAGTATGGGTCGTATGAGTTTTTTTCGTACCCGCACCTGTACGCGAACTTGTACGTACGTACAGGTCCCCGTCCAAGTTTTTTTTTTGGGGGGGGGGGGGTTGCCGAGCAGCACAGGACGCCCCAGGGTGGTTTTTTGTTAGGGAGTGGTTTGCCTGGGCAAGGGGTTTGTGGGAGACCCAGACTCGATTCAAATTCGAATCGTTTGGGAATCGGGTGTCTCTGGGGAAGCGACTCCCGCCTCCCGCTGCAGCAGTTGGACGCCCGCCATTGCCCGTCGTTGAAGTTGCCTAGAGCCGCCATGATTGTTGCTGCCGTCGCTTGGAGCCGCCATGCCGTCGCTGCCGTTGTGTGGAGGAGAAGGCGACGAAAGGAGGAGGAGGAGGAGGAAAGAGAGATGGCGATGGTGGAGGAGGAGGAGGAGGAAGAGGAGGAGGAGGAAGAGAGAAGAAGAAAATGACGAAAGGAGGAGGAGGAGGATGAGAGAAGAAGAAGACGGCGAAAGGAGGAGGAGGAGGACAAGGAGGAGGAGAGAAGGAGAAGACGACGAAACGAGGAGGAGGAGGAGGAGGAGGAGGAGGAGGAGGAGGAGAGAAGAATAAGGAGAAGAAGAAGAAAAAGAAGAAGATCTGAAGAGGAAGAAGAAAAAGATTTGAAAAAAAACAGGAGAAACATGTCGCGCGTGCTGACGTGGCAGCCACGCGACACAACAAAACTTGGGGGAGGAGAAGATAGATTTGGTGGCGGAGCAACTGCATGGCATTGATGTGGTGACACATCAACGCCATGCAGTTGCTCCGCCACCAAATCTATCTTCTCCTCCCCCAAGTTTCACCACATCAACGCCATGCAGTTGCTCCGCCACCAAATGTATCTTCTCCTCCCCCAAGTTTTGTTGTGTCGCATGGCTCGGCCCACGTCAGCATGCGCGACATGTTTTTCCTTTTTTTTTTTTCAAATCTTTTTCTTCTTCCTCTTCAGATCTTCTTCTTCTTCTTCTTCTTCTTCTTCTTCTTCTTCTTCTCTCCTCCTCCTCCTTTCACCGTCTTCTTCTTCTCTCATCCTCCTCCTCCTCCTTTCGTCATTTTCTTCTTCTCTCCCATTCCTCCTCCTCTTCCTCCTCCTCCTCCTCCTCTTCCTCCTCTTCCTCCTCCTCCTCCACCGTCGCCATCTCTCTCTCCTCCTCCTCCGTTGTCGCCATATATGTCCTTCTCCTCTTTCACCGCCATATCTCTCTCCTCCTCCTCCGCCGCCACCATATCTCTCTCCTCCTCCTCCTCCTCTTCCTCCTCCTCCCCCTCTTCCTTTCGTCGTCTTCTTCTGCTCTCCTCCTCCTCCTCCTCCTCCTCCTCCTCCTTTCGTCGCCTTCTTCCTCCTCGTCTTCCTCCTCATTTCGTCATTTTCTTCTTCTCTCCTCCTCCTTCTCCTCCTACTCCTCCTCCTTCCCCTCCTTCTCTTCCTCCTCCTCCTCCGCCGCCGCTGCCATATCTATCTCCTCCTTGCCCCAAGTTCTGTCGCGTTGCGTGGCTGCCACGTCAGCATGCGCGACAACTTTTTTCCCGTTTTTTTCCACATCGTTTTCTTCTTCCTCTTCGGATCTTCTTCTTCTTCTTCTTCTTCTTCTTCTTCTTCTTTTTCTTCTTTTTCTTTTTCTTTTCCTTCTTCTTCTCTCCTCCTCCTCCTCCTCCTTTCATCGTCTTCTTCTTCTCTCCTCCTCCTCCTCCTCCTTTCGTCGTTTTCTTCTTTTGTCCTCCTCGTTTTCCTCCTCCTTCTCCTTCCGTCGTCTTCTTCTTCTTTCATCCTCCTCCTCCTCCTTCCGCCGTCTTCTTCTTCTCTTCTCCTCCTCCTCCTGCTTTTCCTCCTCCTCCTTTTCCTCCTCCTCCTCCTCCTCCTCCTCCTCCTCCTCCTCCTCCGTCGCCGCCATATCTCTTTCCTCCTCTTCCTCCGCTGCCAAATCTATCTCCTCCTCCCCGAAGTTCTGTTGTGTCGCGTGGCTGCCACGTCAGCACGCGCGATATTTTTTTCCTTTTGTTTTTCAAATCTTTTTCTTCTTCCTCCTCTTTTTTTTTTTTTTTTTTTTTTTTTTTTTTTTTTTTTTTTTTTTTTTTTTTTTTTTTTTTTTTTTTTTTTTTTTTTTTTTTTTCGTCTTCTTCTTCTCTCCTCCTCGTCGTCCTCCTCCTCCTCCTTTC